AATTTAAAATGAATGCACAAGTAAAAAATTGCACAATTCAAAGTTTGTCAAAACTGCATAGTTCAAAGACAGCATAGGCAAATAACAAAGTCCAAGTTACAAACTGAATGGCCTAAGGCATGTTTGAATTTCAAAGCTCAGTTCCAATGTCAAAACTGTCCAAAGGAGGTCAAAACACAAAAGTATCATCAATGCTGTCAAGAAGCACAAAGTATGGAAAGAAGAAGACAAAATATGCAGAGTTAGGCTACTATTGCAAGCAAATTCAGTTCAGCATTTCCAGGCCAATGTGCTTTTTCAGAATTAATATATGTTAAGCAATATAATATGCTTAAATATTGGAGAGAGGGAGAAGAAAAAAGGAGAAGTGTAGGCTTACTGGTTTGGCTTTAGGCATAAAGAAATATAAACACAGAAACTGCAATAAAATAGTGAAGCAGAAGGCAGAAGTATGAAGGAATTAGCATGCAAACAAAACTGTCCACAAAGTGTAACAAAATTATCTTTCCATTTTAAAACCCTGCAAACCTGCCCATTAGCTTGACCAAAAGAAAAGATATCAAAACTGCATAGTTCAAAAACATCATGGGCGCCAAAACAAAAAAAGCCTAAGCATATATGAAAAGAACACAGTCCAAGAAAAAAAGGGGGGAACGAGTTTCAAACCAAAGGCAAAATCTGTGTTCAATAGATATCACAAACAAAAAACAAAACTGAAACATAAGCTCTCAAGCCTAAAAAACCAGTTTACTCAAAGAACCTGCATAAACCAGTAAAAACTCTCAACCTTCTCAAAAACCTGAAGCCTTTCAAAGCATAAGCCTTTTAGCCTCAATAACCTGTAGCATAACCTTAAACCAATAGCCATGCTAAACAAAAACCAGAAAACATACAACCTACTGTCAAAACCCCTGGGCCATGCCAAAAACTGAAGCATAATTCCTTAACCATCAAAAACCAGTAAACTCATCAAAAGCCAAAAACCTGCACTCAAAGATAATAGCACCAACCTGCTAAAGTTTCAAAAAACCAGATAAGCATCCAAACCGGCCTGAGAAAATCCAAACACACAGGCCCTCAGAAAAATTCATCACAGGGCAGTAAAACAATAGTCAAGCATACAAGGTAATAGTCCAACAGAAGGGGCATTCGAAGGCAACATATCAACAGGCAACTCAAAGGCAAAATAAGCATACAGAAGGCAACTAAGCAAGCAACGAGACAGAGAAGAAGAGAAAAAAATATAAAAGTGGTTCAGTTCATCATCATCACCAAGGCAGCAAAGAGAGAAGAAGAGAAAAATATCGAAGTGGTTCAGTTCATCATCATCATCAAGGCAACAAAAAAAAAGGGCAAAGTACAAACCAGGACACCAAGTTCATCAAGCACTGTCCCTCCGCTCGCCGGCCCTCCAAATTCCTCCAGGTTCCCTCCTCCTCTTTCTCCAAGAGGTAGTATACTCATCTCCTTTTCATGCATATCAAAATGACAAAAGAAAATACATAAATCAAAACCCAATCGAAATATAAAAATCAAAAGATACAACGAAAGCCCTAACAACCTTACAAGCGTCGCCTGAACAGTACACTGAGGGAGAATGGGAAACGGTGGCGTTGGTGGCTTAGGCGAGGAAGATGTTGTTCTGAATCCATGGCCAAAGGAACGAAAGATGAACGAAGACGAAGATGAACAAACGGCGCGCCTCAGCAAATCCTAAAGTCCCAACTGAACACAATAACCCTGAAACCCCAAAACAGATTTTTTGTTCCAAGTCTTGGGCCTTGCCCTTTCTCCAGCGCCTAGGCCCAAATCCATTCTAATTGGCACCCCCCCTTTGGGCTTCCAATTCTGACTAAGCACTAATTCCCTTTTGGCCCATTTACCCTTTTTTTTCTTCATCTTTTCTTACTAAAATTTGTTTGGATTAATACATAAAACTTAAAACCTTTTTTTCTTTTCTTTTATTAAAACTCCTTTTTTATTTTTAATGTAAATCTTGCTTAAAACATTTATAAAAAAAATACATAAAGAAATAGATTTTTTTTAGTTTGAATATTCTTTTTAACTAAAACATTTTGTATATAAAAATACTAAATACAAATATACTAACATAAATACATAAAAAATAGAACTTAAGATATTTTCTTTTCTTTTATTAAATTTGCTTATTTGTACATACTTAACCAAAATACAAAACAAATACATACTTAATTATACATTTAAATTCACATTTCGCAACTTGTAAATAAAATATACGTACACGTACACCTACACAATACACTTTATATTTGACAATATACATTTGCTATTCTTATACTTTACGTTACATTTACACTTTTATCGCAATTCGATTTGGTTGTAAATTATTGGACACTACATTCCTAAAATCTCATCCATACCCATTTAACTAAACAAACAATTTTAACCAAAAACAGATATTTCAAAAGGTTCTTGCGGAGTACCGCAGATGCATTGGGTGCTAATACCTTCCCATTGTATAACCAACCCCCGAACTCTCGATCTCTTTCAAAAACGCATTGTATTTTTATTACTTTTAAGTATTATTTTACATTGCATATTTTAGGGTTTTATTTCGCTCTTTTCCCTTTTCCCTTGGAAATAGTAAAGCGCGGTGGCGACTCTTGCTTTTGTGAGTCAAGTTAATTAATAGCTTGATCTCCGATTTTCACCGCTACAATATGATATCTGCATACCAGAATTTTAATTGGTATCAGAGCAGGCATCTTGCTTTATATTTGGATGAGATTCAAAGAAGATACTTTCTACTACAATGGATAAGGAAAGAAGATGAAAAATTATCTCAGGAAAACTCCAAAGATTTGAATGTTATATTCAATGGAAAGGACAAGAACATCTGCAGACTGATAAGTAATTATATTATTGCTAAAGAAACTTGAGATATATTAGAGACTGCTCATGAAGGAACCTTTAAGGTAAAGATATCAAGGCTCTAAATTCTTACCACCAAGTTTAAGAACTTAAGAATGAAGGAGGATGAAAGTATTAATGACTTTCACACGAATATTATTGAGATAGCAAATGCTTCAAGTATCCTGGGAGAGAAGATGTCTGAAGCTAAGTTGGTGAGAAAAATCCTCAGATCTCTTCCAAAGAGGTTTCACATGAAGGTGACTGTCATTGAAGAAGCCCAAGATATAAATAACGTGAATGTTGATGAGCTTATGGGATCTCTATAGAACTTTGAATTAGGGATCACTGAAAAGTCTGAAAAGAAGAACATTGTTTTCATCTCTAATGTTGAAGACTTGGTAGATGAATATGATCTGGATACTGATGAACGGTTGTCTAATGCTATTGTGTTGCTTGGAAGATAATTAAATAAAGTGATAAAGAAGATGGACTGAAAGTCAAGACCAAATATCAAGAACAAATCATTCGACATCAACAAAAATCAGGACTTTGGAAGAAGATCTATAATTGAAGAAAAGACTAAGCAAGTAAAGGGAATCCAATGTCATGGATGTGAAGGGTTTGGACACATAAGAGTTGAGTGTCCCACTTATCTCAAAAAGCAAAAGAAAGGATTGTCTGCCTCATGGTCAGAGGAGGATTCTGAAAGTGATCCTAAAGAGGAATCTGCTAAATAGGTTACTACCTTGACTGGAGTTTGTGAGTCTGATGAAGAATTAGATTGTGAAGAACTCACCTTTGAAGAACTTGCTGCTTCATACAAAGAGTTGTGTCTCATGAGTGAAGAAATTTATCAACTAGGAGAAGATCAAAAGAAAATCATTACTTAACTACAAGATGAAAAAGTGAAACATTTGTCCATCATCTCTGACTTGAAGGGTGAAGTTATCATAAATAATAATAAAGCAAAAGGAGTATTATGATAAGTTTGCCATTTGTCATTACATTACACTACTTACTATTTTTAAAGTTACTCATAATAGAAACTATTCTATAATTAGATTGTCATTATTTTTCATTTATTTTAAAATTCTTAATTATTAATCATCAAATTCTTAAATGCCCTTTTATTCAAAATTTAAAATCTCGATATAATACTTAAACATAAAGGGAAATTACTGACGTTTAGTTTATCTCATATTTATGCATCAATTTTTTATATAAATACAATTAAATTAAAATAATTAGGTTTAACTAAAACTTAATTGTAGTGCAAAATAACATTGCATATAAATTGGGTAAACACATAAGTTGTTTGTCAATAATCATAACAATATTGCACATAATTTTTTTAAATTAATTTAATAGAATTTATTATATTTTTTATTTAGTTTCAAAAATATTTAATTATAATTATTTAAATTTAAATTAAATATATAAATTGTATCTTCTCTTTGTAATTATAATGATTCACATTAATTCGTATTAATAAAATTGATCATTATTTTTTAATTTAACATATTATAACTTTTTATATTATATTAACAGTTATATAACTTTTGGAAAACCATTTCTTAATTTTTTAAAATATATTCTAATTATGATGATTATGATTATGATTTTTAAAAAGATGACGTGATTATGATTATGATACACAATATTCAATTCGGTCCATTATGATTATTAAATTGAAATTGTAATACTTGAAATTTGTAATTATCATTTATTTATTTATTTATTTATTATTATTATTATTATTATTATTATTATTATTATTATTATTATTATTATTATTATTATTATTATTATTATTATTATTATTATTATTATTATTATTATTATTATTATTATTATTATTATTTATGATTTGTATCATATAATTTATGATTTGTAATCAATTTTATACTCTTTTGGATTTTGAAAACATATAAAACATCGTCAAACGATAACAGCCTTGAAAACAAAAGGACCCATATGAACTTTTGCAGAAGTTGAATCGGCTCATCTTATCTACTCGTACAAAGAATTCTTTCACCTAAAAAATGGAGACCTTCCTCTATCTATTCAAATTGTTCTTCTCAATGCAGTCCTTCCAAATTCCCATACATCTAATCATCGATTTCATTTATCCAGTTCAATTTTCCATGTAAGTTCTTCCAGAATTGGATTTTATGTTGCTTTCTTTTTTCTTATGATTTGAAGTATATAAATAGTTTCAATTACTTCTTCCAAATCATGCTTCTTCCAGTTTCTCTCTTGTTGTTACTACAACTGTCTTTCATATAATCTTTTTCCAGTTTTTGTCATGGCCGCCGAAAGACACGACTGTGTTAATGACATCACTCTTGCAAAGGAATCATGGGACATTGTTGTTTGTGTCGTTCGTTTACGGTTTGTGTCTATATGAATTCCAAACAAAAATTTCATGCGATGGAAATGGTTTTGATGGATGAAAAAGTTGTTGTTGTTGTTGGAAATCCACAAAATATCTATGCCCATAAATTATGGAAAACTTTATTAATCACTTACAACTGTAAATACTGTGATTACTTACAAATACTGTGATTACAATAAATTGACTTAATTACAAAATTATGGGTTATCTATTTATAGATTTAGGTTAGCTTGCTCCTAAACCAAAGTCCAAAACTATAAAAGCCCAAAAATACCTATTCTGATACTGATCTAACCTGATCAGACTTGGACCGTCACGGCTGACTCCGAGCTGAAGTTTTGAACGAGGTGGAGGGTATCTGCAAGGCACTCCGATGCTGAAGTAAGTAAGAGCACGAGCAGACAATAGTATGAGTGTGGGTAAAAGAATGAATCCCTGACCCTCTGGGAACAGAGGGTATTTATAGCCCCAGCGCTGGGCCAAGGTTCCTTCATTGGGCCGGGCAGGTTTGGCCCAATGGAGGAACTGCCAGGTTCTACGTGCGTAGTGGGGACCCGCACGTGGTCCCCTTCCTGGATGTTCTGCGTGAAGTACGGACGGACGAGGACGTGGTCTTTTCGGGATCCAGGTGATGGCGTAGTGGATAGAGTATGTCCAGGAGGAGTGCTCGAGCTGAGGTTGAGCGGGTTAGTGTGGAGTCGAGGACGTCGTACTAGCAGGAGATGTCGGGCAAGGATGTACCTTTTGGTCGGCGTGATCCTTCGCAAGACCGTTTGGACTGGGCCTTTACCATTGCTTTTGGGCCAGCCGGACCCAGTCCAGAACAGGAGCCCCCCAAGTCGTGGTTCCTGTAGTAGGAGCCGTGACTTGATCTTAGGTCGCCTGCGTCACGGGGTCCCGTTCCCGCGGCTTGCTCGAGGGGTTTTCCCCGTGTCGGGCACACGAGATGATGCCACGCGAGAAGCGCTCGGGGAGTCTCGACGGGCCGCGTTCGTTGGGCATATGAGGTATCTCTTGGGAATCGTGCCGCCACCCTACTGACGATAGGGTCATCATTGCCTAGAGGAGCTACATGTCGAGGAGGGAAGTTTTGTGGTTCCCCGAGGTGACGTTTGGTATTCCACGTCATCACTATAAATAGGTTGTTTTGGGCCCCAGAACGTGTTTTCCCTGTCCGCGCTTCTCCTCTGCACTCTGTTCCTGCTGTTGCTGTTCTTCCAAGATACTCATAGGACCACCGTGATCTCCGTCGCTGATTTCCTTTCTCCGTTGTCACATTACCTTCCTGATTCCAAGTAAGTGCCTTGTTTCCTTCGTTTTTCCTCTGTGATGCATGATTTTCGTTGTTTTCAGATGTTTTTAGAGATTGTAAGCCTGGGATTAGCCCGGTAGATTTATGCTTAGCTCGACAAATCCATGTTTATGCTCGGCGAACGCGTGTATGCGCCCGGTGAACACATAGTTTAGGTATTTGACTCGCAGTGCTGCCCGGGGACTTCATGACTCAGGGCGCCTAATTCTTGGTGGTGCTCGGTGAACTCGTGGCTCTAGTTTTGAGACCCATGACGTTGCTCGCCACGTTCGTAACCTGGGTCGACACTTTTGTGAGTGGTCGAGATGTTGGCCTATTCAGGCACTCTGTAGCTTGTCTTGGTGACTGGGAGTCGGGGAGGTGACTGCTCTTTTTTGTTTCGAAACACCACTTTGTGGTCGCGCATGGAGCGACGTGGTTTGCCGTGCCCTTCATCTCGTTCGTTATGGCGAGCGTGTGGTTTCGCTCCCAATTGATTGGTTTCCCGTGCTTTGTAGGTAACCATGGTGGACGAACCGTGTTCTTCAGGGCGCCCCGAGGTGGGAGAACAAGGTGCTGATGAAAATGTGAATTTGGTTGACACCATAGAGGACCCTCTGCTGGACTGGGTGGGTGCCGAGCCCAGAGGGATAGCTTCGGCCTATAGTCGACGTAGTCGAAGGGCGTACACCATTCTCGAGGCAGGCAGTAGCTAGTCCGATTTCCAAAAGAACTTCGTCGTCACTCGGCCAACTTTCACTGCGCGAATCTGCTCGGAGTTCCCCAAGTATGGATTCCCTATGTACGAAATTGCCTTCAAGGACCTTGGGTTGCAGCTGCCCTTCAGCAATTTTCAGGTCGGGGTCTTCGGCCATCTGGGGTTGGCCCCGTCGCAGCTTCACCCAAATTCGCTCGCTTTCATCCGGGCGTTCGAGCTAACTTGTCGGTTTCTAAGGATTGGGGCGACCATACCCCTCTTCTTCAGAGTCTTCCACCTACAGCGTCAATCCCGGGGAGGTAAGCATAGCTGGGTTTCCCTGAAACAGTCGAAGAGACTTTTCAGGATGTACATGGATTCCGTGCGGGGTTTCAAGGACAAGTGGTATATTGTGAGGCCGGTTACCGCAGCGGGTTTGGAGTCTGTGTACGAGGAGGAAGCAGTCATAACCGACGACCACGGGGAAGCCCTTTTGGACGACAAGGGGCATCCGGTGTTAGGGCGCGTGGCCAAATTTCCCCTACATTGGACCTCGAGGCACTACGAGCATGGGACCGGGTACTACCACACGTCCGCGGGCGAAATGAGCTCTGAAGACGAGAAGGCTTATGGTACTCTCTGTCGGTATGTCGACAGTTTCTTCCCCGCCAGATGGGCCACGAGGGAGGGGGAGGATATCCTTGACGAGGAAGGTTATCCGACCTTCGAGGCCCGATCGATTGACACAAAGGCACTTGTGGAGTGCCAGTCCTTCGGGAAGGCTGCAAATTTGCTAGGTCGTTATCGTTTGTCTTGTTGAATTTCTTTACCTGTTATTTGTTCGCCTATTTGCTCGTCACTAACCCGGGGTTCTTTCATGCAGGTTCGATGGCCGGACAAAGGGAGAGGCTCTTGAAGTTGTCCTGTGACAGGAAGGTGAGTAAGAGGGTGGTGAGACCTCCTCAGGCGACGAGGATGGGCCCGCCACATAGCCCGGGCATTTCTCAGGCGACGAGGGTGGACTCGCCACCTATCTCGGGAGCTGCTTCGGGGGAGATTCCAGACATCCAAGAGGTCGAGCCACACACCGACCTGATACAGAGGAAAAGGAATCGGGTGGAAAGCCAACCGGAAATCGGTGAGGACTCCAGCGCTGTGAGGTCCTTCGGGTTACCCCCTTGCTTTAAAGAGGAGGGTTTCTTCGAGGGATTTCCCTTGTCCGTGAGTCCCGACGAAGCTGAAACCATCAGGAGGATGAACAAGGAAAGCCGGAGAAGGCACCTGGCCGCCAATATGGCCGGGGTGGTGAAGATGGTCGAGATGGCCGTTGTACTGGCCGAGGAGGGGGAGGATGCTGACCGTATCAAAGAGTTGGAACAGGAGAAAGCTGCCCTCACCTCTAGTTCGCGAAAGTTGAAGGCTGCTCTGGAGCGCTCCGAGGAGATGTTCCGTGAGCAAGCCGAGCTGCTGGCGACGGAGATAGAGTTGCTGACTCTGGAGAAGGAGAACTCGGGGAAGCTGGACGAGGAGAGAGACCTTTTTCGTGCGGACCGGGAACGTCTGGAAATTGACAACGGGTGCCTCGCCAGAGAGATCGAGGACCTGAAGGCCGCTATGCTTCCTGCCGAGGACGAGTCGGAGGATACAACTCCTTTGAGGAGTCGATCGGAACTGGTCGCTCGTATCCAACTTCTCGAGGGGGATTGTGTCGGAGCTATGGTGGACGGCTTTGAAGCCGCGATCAGCCAGCTTTCCTTGTTGAATCCCGGCCTGAACACTAAAGGGGTGAGCCATATGTCTTAGATTATTAACGGTCAGGTCGTGCCTCCGCCCGACTCTCCTGTTGTTGGTGATGGTAGCTCCGGGGAAGCTGAATTGTGAGATAGTGATGGGCCTGCGCGCCTTTGTTGATGTTTATTCTGGGGCCTGCGTGCCTGTTTATATTTTCTGGGCCTGCGTGCCCGTTCTTTGTATTTCTTGAACATCGCCGGCCTTTTTGGTCGGTTTACATTTATTTGCTTTATTGCCTACGGGCCTTTTGAATGAATGTTTTGTTTCAATTTTGATTGTTTGCCCGTACTTGTGTTTTACGTTTTTGCGCAAAAATTGGCCTAAGTTATGGGCCCGAGGTGTGCCCGTATATGGTTGTGACTTTGCTGGAAAATTTGCCTAAGTCTTTTGTTCGTGTGTGTACTCGGCCTCCTCTCGATGGCTAGAGTCGCCCAAGTGGTGACCTCGAGGGGAGAGACTCCTTTTTGACCCTTTTAGATGGCCCGACGTTCTTCGAGATTCGCCGGGCATGCGGAGCGAAGCCGCTTGGTCAGGTATATGACCCGGTCGGGGTTATTTGCCCGTGGCGTGAACTGCCCATCACGAGCTGGGTGTTCTGCCCTACAGGTACTTCGACGGTGGAGCTCAGTAGAGGTGTCCACGTCGGGCGTTATCGTTTGTTCATATTTAAACGATGTTATGCGTTTTGGACGTAGGTCGGGCCTGTACCTCGGCCTCTCTACGGGGTCGGACGTTTCTCCTCGTTGACTGGGCGCGGGAGCCGACAGCCGAGGGTCCTCAGTGTTGGTGGTTTTCAACTATAGTACTGCTTTAGTTTAGCAGCGTTCCAGGGTCGTGGTAGTGGCTCTCCATCTAGTTTTTCGAGGCAGTACGACCCGGTACCAGTGGTGCCGTGGACGCGATAAGGCCCTTCCCAGTTTGTGGCCAGCTTCCCTTCACGGGAGTCTTTTTGGTTCCTTCGTAATACCAGGCTGCTGATTTTGAACTCGCGCTTAATGACCTTATCGTTGTGGCGCAGAGCCACTCGTTGTTTTAGGGTGGCTTCGCGCAGGGCCGCACCAGATCGGATTTCCTCGACTAAGTCGAGTTCGTCCCGTAGTGCCTCGTTGTTCATTTCTTCGTCGAGGGGGCTCTCCGTCCGTCTGGATGGTTCCATGATTTCTACCGGGATGACGGCCTCGGTCCCGTATGTTAGTCGGAATGGGGTCTCGCCCGTCGTTGAGTGGGGCGTGGTGCGGTATGCCCACAAGACACTGTGCAGCTCCTCTACCCATCCCCTCTTCGCTTCGCCGAGTCGGCGTTTGAGTCCTCGGAGGATGACTCTG